CACACACACACACACACACACACACACACACACACACACATTTGTCACTCTCTCTCTCTTACACACGCATTTGTCACTCTCTCTCTCACACACACATCTCTCTCTCTCTCTCACACACACACACACACACATTTGTCACTCTCTCTCTCACACACACACTCATTTGTCACTCTCTCTCTCTCTCTCACACACACACACACTCACACACACACTCACACACACACACACTCACACACTCACACACACTCACACACATTTGTCACTCTCTCTACCTCCCTGTGTCTCTCTCTCTCTCTCACTTCCTCTCCCCTCCCTCGCTCTCTCTCTTTCTCACTTCCTCTCCCCTCCCCCCCTCTCTCTCACTCTCTCATCCCCCCCTCCCTCTCTCTCTCACTCTCTGTGTGTGCCACTCACGGTGGGGATCATCATGCGTGCTTGTTGCCTTGTGTGTAGGTGGGAGTCGTCCGCTCGGACCTCAAGAACCGTGAGTTTCATGTTCTGACTGATGCTGAAGTTGAGCAGCACCTGACAGCGATCAGTGAAAGAGATTGAGAGCGGTTGTGGAGATGGATGTCGGGTCGGGTTCCCCCCTTGCAGGCAGGCAAGAGGACATGGTAGCGTCATTGGATAACGTCGACTAACTAAGCAGCTTGTCCGGCAAAAGAATCTGCTACTGCTCATACTATGGCTTGTGGCAAATGATCGTGGAAATGTACTTTTTTCTTTTTTTGCACAGACGAGTTGAGAATCTTGAGAATCTTGAGATGCCCCGTAGCCAGATAAGATTGCCGTACTTTGCACTGAGGATGGTCTTTTTTTTTTTGGCTGTTGGGAACTGATTGTCTAAAGATAGTTTTATTTTCTAATGCCAGCCGTGTTTTTTGAGTTGTCGTAGCCGGATATAGAGTGCGTGTCTTAAATTAGCGCAATGGATGATATGTTCTTGCAAAAGGTCTCCTTCCCTTTATGTGCAGTGATATGCAGCACGCACACGCGCACACACGTGCGCACACACACACACACACACACACACACACACACACACACACACACACACACACACACACACACACACACACACCCCTTCCCTGCCGTTTGCATGTCTATCCTGCCCTTCTCATATTTGTCTCCTGCGGTTCTCATATTTGTCTCCTGCCCTTTGCCCTCCACCTCCCTCTACCCCACACTCCTAAAGAACTCCGGCTTCTATCCCTTTCCCTCCACCCTCCCCTCTTGTGCTACTAGCAAGAACGTACGAATGAGCATTATTAAAAGTGGCGATATGAAGATCAGAAGTGAAATAAATAGGAGTATGAAGATCTGAAGAGAAATACTGGTTATGACCTGCATGGCTTGTCCTCCATACTTCTCATGGATTTTAAGTTTGGGGGAGGGGGGGGGGGRGGGGGAGGGACTTGATCCGAAATCCTGCCCATGGCTTGTCCTCCACACTTCTCATGGATTTTAAGTTTTGGGTGGGTGCAAAACTTCAGAAGTAAAATTTTGTGTTTTAACACTTTTATACTTTTTCCTTTGTGGACAAATAATCCTTTGTCAAATTGTCACAGCTTTCTGACAGTTTTTGCTAGGTTGTTTTTTTCGGGCGCTTGTGCAGTCACAGCCTTCCCGGAAAGCCGGTCGGGTGCCTGGCCGTGCAAGTTCCCCGTGCAGGGTCCAGGGCGCCCAGTGCGCCAAACAGAAAAAAAATACGAAATGGACCGGTTTCGGGGTCCTCGCGGCTCACGGGGGTCTGCGCCGCCCCACCCCCAGGCCCTACCGTTTTTCGTTTTTGAAGCTTCATCGGGCCCAGGTGCTGTTCAGAAGCGGCCAAATCTTGGCCGTTTGATCTTTGGGATCAACAGCCAAGATTCCCAGGCTTTTTTAATGAACTGCCCATGTGATTTCGAGTGGGTGAATGCCCTCGTGAAACTGCCTGGGCGCTTCCACATTCGATGAGTGCGCCCCTCCCCCCCCTCCTTCCCCTCCCCTCCCGGCTTTCTTGGACACTGCCCGTTGTTGCGCCCGCCATTGACACGCTGAGTCATCGTCTTCTTCTTCTTCCACTTCTTTTTTTTTTTTTTTTTTTTTTCTCGTGTGTTTGTGCGTGGGTGTAGCATAATCTATGCACAGCATAATATGCAAGAACTCCGTATAAAACGGCGGCCTGTCGTGCTATCGAATAATATTATTCAGTGCAACCCAGACCCCTTTCAAGGGACCAAACCAAACAATAAGATACAAAGGCAATTAAGAACTGTGAATGGATGAAGGCCAAAATCCAAGCTTACGCAATTCTTTGATTGAAAACCGGACTCAAAACTTGCCGTCGAACACACCATCTTTGCTCAGCATTAGGGCCTCGCTTCCTATGTGACACCTGCGGCCTAGGGCGCGGGCATTTCGGCCGCTGCGGCCGAGAATCTCGGCCGCGGCCGCGGCCGATGAGGCCCGGTCCGCGGCCTGTTTTTTTAAATATTTTGTTTTACCCCTAAAAATACGTTAAAAAAAAAAAAGTTGGGGGTGTAGGGCTTCGAAAACCCTACACCCCTTTTTTTTTTTTTTTTT